CCCCCCCCCCCCCCAAAAAAAAAAAAAAAATTGCCTGGCACGGGGATGCCATCCTCCGCGTCCCCCTCCCCTCCTCCATCGTTGTCGGCATCGTCTCTCTCCTTCTTACCAATGCGAAGAGAGAGAGAGAGAGAGAGAGGGAGAGATGAGAAAGAAAGAGAGCCAGTGAGATGAAGGCTGAAAGCGGTGACCAACTGTCGAGATGCAATTGACGTGGAAAGCTTACGTTGGCATCCCTGTGCCAGACAAGTTTTTCTCCCCCGTCCCCAAATCTACAAATAATCCACAACATTGATTACCAATGTAACGCCATAATTATCTACCAGAATGATTAGGTGCCGCATGCCTTGTTGATACATAACATAGCGTGATGACACTGAACTTTTTGCCAAAAAAACCAAGCAAAGTTCTTGAATTTAGGAGCTACCTTAAGCTCCAAGATTTTCTCCATCACCAACATCATCTCTCTTTCTTTATGTAATAAATTAGCATTAGAGAGGCTTTTTAGCCCAACATAAGCTTATTGACACGTTAGTTAGTAGTCGATTACCTAATGATTTGCCTCTCTCCAAATTGCTCCACTTACAATAAAGATGTTGATGATATCCTACGTGTTTGTAATAATGTGTGTTTATAAAGCTAGGAAAGATAAAGCAAGAAGCTTAAGCTTCTTCATCACACTCATGGAATCTCAATGTTTAAGCTTAAGCTTCTTCACCACACTATTAATAAAAAAATTAAAACCAGAGAGAATTTTGTTCCATCATTACCTTTTTCTTAATATTATCTTGAACAAATCTCCTCTCTCCAACCTCATCACCACTATCACCCGTCAACCCCGCAACCATTATAACGACAACTATTGCCACCACAACTTCTATCACCAACACCACAAAGAAATTTCATCATGCTTAATAGGAATTTTCACAAGAGTGAGTTATTACATTTTTTTGGGTCTATTATGCGCATGGGATTCACTAACTTTGTATAAGGAGTTATTGAGGCGGGGGCAAAGGTGGTTCCACCATTTTTTCTTTTGTTTGCCAAAGTTAGAAAGGAGGAGGGGGAAACTTAGGCATACAGAAATTATGAGGCTTCAACCAAAGACCACTTCGTAGCTCAATAAAGACCTGAGACAATCCAACTAACATCCCATTGACTCGAGCAATTGAGGGGGGCTATGATCCTAGGACAAACACCATTCTCCAAGTCACGAGACAACTTGGAGATTATAGCGAACCACCATAAGTGCCACGTGATATCTCTAATATTACTCTATATCAAATGGAAGTTGATCCGTTTGGTAAAAACAAAAAAATGGAAGTTGATCCAGGGAAAACCGACGTTGCCATAAATGATGGTATTCTTCTCCTTGGTTTCAAGTTTACAAGTGGAGGACAAAAAGAAATTCAGCATCCACATTAATTGATTGAAAGTCTATGACCCCATAATCTTCCATTTCTTCAGATCCTGCCACTCAATTATGTGAATATGTGATGCAAAATATTCAAGTACATCTTTTGTTTTTCAGACAAACACAGTACAAAAGATCAGCTGGTAAGATATGTGGGATCTCACCTTATTAAAGATGGGGGCATCTCCAACCTATTGAGATGGTTCCCCCTTCGTTTTCATAGCTTCCAAGCTTAATAAGTACAAATGTAAATAAAGACATCAAATTCATACTATTGATTGTGGAGATGTTAAAAGCATCGTGGATGGAGGGTTGGATCGGGGGTTGCCATGCAAAAGGCTCCCAATGCCCTTTGCATTGTGGAACCAGCTTGCATTAACGACTGACAGCCCCACACGCAGGCGCGTCTCTCAGTAACTTGACTCTTTGAAAATTTGGGGGCAGCCCACATAAACACATCTCCACTAGTTATACTTTGCATAAGGCCAACTTAAGCACTATTGAGTTGTAAAATGCATGTCCATGTCAAACTGAAAAATTCCTTGCCATAAAATACTTGAGATCAGAAACATCAATTGGGAAAAGGGGCCCCATGCCAAACACATAGAGGCTCCAAGATAAATATTTGGATTGAACATTTTCAACTTGGAATGACGGTTTCTGATAGCAACAGGCATCTGCACAAAAGAATACGCGACTTTATATCTATTTAGGTTATGAGGAAACATCAACAAAACTTGAATTGACCAGATTAGAGAACGCAAATGTAGCTCTCAAATTGAAACCTTTTCGTGCATTAAAAAAAAAGCCACACTTCATTTTCTCCCGTCCCCACTATAATGGAGGCTAGAAATCATTTCTAGACATCTACTCAACTAAGGTAAGTAACTATCCTATGTCCACCTTTCAGTCTTCACAATAGCCTGCTGAGAGACTTGATCAGCAACTTCAAATTTTTTCTCGTAGCCTCATCACCCGTAAATCCAAGAATATCAGAGCTTAAATTCTGCAATGATGAAAGAATGATAAAAGAAAATTAAACAAGAAAACAGATGGATATAAAAGAGATTAAAGAAAAAAAATTCCACATGATAATGTAATCACTCGGCAGCTAGGATCACCTCAATATTCTTCAAGGTGAAAATCAAAGTGTACACAGACTTCTGAATCAGTTCTGTATTCTCAGGGGTCATAATAGATGAATGCACCTTTCTGCAGAAAATCATACTCTATATCATTACTATTAGCTTCTAATCAAAACAAAGAGGGATAGAAAGAGAAAGGAGAAAGAGGGGTGAGGGAGAGAGGAGAGAGAGAAAGAGAGACAGAGACAGAGGGAGATTTCCATATAAAACTTTCCGACATTTTTTTAAACCTTCGATAGAGTTCTGTTGAAGGTCTATTTGGATATATGAAAAAGACATCATAAATCAAACCTTAAAACACCCCAATATAATAATCATAACTCTTTACTCTGTACTATGACATGGATAAATGAGTGCTGTTCATAATTCCAGTATCAGTAAACATAACGTGAGTGTTAAAAGTCAGAGACTTCTACAGCTACATAACGTTATTCAGAACATTGACCTAGAACACCTTAAACAAACATCGCAATAAAGATAAAGACAAGGAATCAAAAAATATATTAATAAGCTAACTACTACAAAAAGAATAAAAAAACTAAATATAGATAAATTGAGACAATTCACCTCAGATCCTCCGAGGCTTGCGTAAGGCTTCTGGTCAAACTGTCAACTTCCTTTAGCAGACCACTATCACGAAACTCAGCCAGCAAAGGTTGAACATCTTCAGCCATGGCTTGTATCTGAGAAATCACTACATCAAAGCCAAATAATTGTGCATGAGAACATATTAAAATCATGGTACAAATGATGAACTAACTTAAAATAGTGAAACAAGTGCAAACCCCATGTATGCCAATGCATGTGGGCACACATAAAGACACACACTGCAACACACACACATGCTAATATAGGTGATTTGCTCTGCAAATTGGATTTTCTGGCCATTGTTGTGATTGCGAAACTGACAACAATTCCAGCAGCACATCTCAACAAGAAAATACTGCAGTAATATCACTGAAAGGAGAAAGAACTATATATTTCACAGTTTTTGGCTTTTTGGTGAAATACAGAGCCCTTTTATGCCATGATGTGTTCCATTGTGGCTACGAAAAATAGGCACTGGAAGCAACATATTAGAAGTTCAACTTGGAAGGATCAAATTTCTTGAACACGAAGGAACTTAAAACACGTCGCAGTGTCCTAAAATCTAAAAATTGTAAGCTATGTACTGATGCTTTTCTTGTTAACACTCATAAGGGATCAGAGTATATGGGTTTCACCTAGTCTGCTAAAAGGGGATAAATTTGTGTACTCTTAATGGAAAAATTAATCTATCAGAGAGTCAGCCACCATCTATGTAAAAATAAATTCATGCCCTGACAATTTAAATGTAGTCAAACAATTAGAATCTGTAACTGACATCAATTCTTTCAAAAAGCTTTGTAATTTCTCAGATGACTAGCATCCTGAATGGGCAATCTTTCAAAATTTGTATAAATAAATTGTTAAATAGATGGGTTTAGGCTACTTCAACTTTAATTTAACAAATCAGATCCAAAAAAGGTTACTTAATAGTTTTTAAGTCTTAGAAGACTGAAAGATATGTAAATCCCTAGTGCAGTTTTCCAATTGTGATATGCACACGTTATCTTCCAGGACCTCCCACAAATGCACAGGTGTGCCACAGGAAAGTGTGATTCCTTTGCCTGATGCCAAATGGCTGATGAAGTCCCTACACTTTTTGCCTTTATGAAGCAAATAGATGTGGCCCTAATAAATTCTAGAACAAATAGGTCCTCATCCACGATATCCTAATGAACAGAACTGGTAAGAATGAAAAGGGGGTGGGGAACTGTTATCCAGATCAACACTGACAATTATCGCTAAAGAAAACATAAGAGGGCACATCACACCTTTATAAGAAGTGGCTTTGCCTCTTCTATAACAGAAGCAACTCGTTCAACAAGTGAATATGTATTCGCAATACCGATTTCCTCCACTTCACGTCCAAGACGAGTGAATATACC